TCCCCATGGATATTATTAGGGCTGGTATTCTACCCTAGGTTTTTGATCTAGCTTACTTAGATAGAAATGATGTGGACTGATTATAAATAAACACATCTTAATGAAATGACTGTCATTCCCTTTCGTGGAGTGTTACCTCCATTCACATGCTTTCATCTGATTACTACTGCTTTTCCTTTCCCCCACCCCTCTGGTTTTCAAGCAGATGCATGGACAGGTGTCTTCTGTCCCTGAGATTACATAAAGCCTTTAGCTTTTAAAAATATAAGGCCAAATTCTGCAGGGATGTAAATAGGTATGCGTACATTGACTTCAATGGACCTTTACTACTTTACATCACCAAAGAGTTTGGATTGTAAAGTGAATTTGGCTAACTGGCATCTCAAAAAGATCTCATAGCGGTGGGCCTTTGCTTTGAGTCCAAATAGAATTTTGTCGTCTTGTAAGTGTAGCATAGCTGTAATATTTTAAGGGTCCCTTTTGCATTTTGAATGTTAATCTTTGCTCAGACCTACAGAACATCAAAAGTATTAACTTCTATTTAAAAACAAAAATGACAAGTTTTCATTTTTAAGCTGAAGACTAATGTGCGACGAAGCCAGAATCAAGCAAAGCAAAATTCTGAGTATTTACAGTTATGAACAGTTGTGGCACCCTACCATTGGTGTCAAAGGACACTTATTGGTGGCTTAGGTAACACCAGCAACAAAGGGGATATGCATCTTGAATATGAACTTTTAGTTTTCAGCAGGTTTCCTTTGCCTTGCAGAAAAGTAACATTTCTTTAAGGGCATAAATCATATGCATATGGCAATATCATACATACTGGAAAACAAATATCTCTTCTTTAATAAGAGAGTTGGCATTTGGAAGTTTTATTTCTTAATGTGGGAGAGGTCAAATGTAACATTGGGATAAACAGGTGCAGCTTACATCAGTGATGAGTTTTGCCTATAATGGGTGTGTCCAGATGAGTGTGCATGTGCTTTTCCTGGGGGACAAGTAGCAGCAGCACAATGTGTGTTGGGGAATGTCCCTGGCACATGGCAAGTTGCCCTGGGTAGGGTAAGGGAGGCTGGGGCCAGCACCTGGGCTGGCCCCAGCAGCCTCATCTGGGGTCCTGGGGGCCTCCCAGGGCTCCAGCGGCAATGATCTGGCAGTAGGGAGCCTGGCTGGCAGCTGAAGTGTGGCTCTGCCCAGGCAGGCTCTAGTTTTGGGTGGTGCATGCTGCCACCACATGTGCCACTCTGGTTTTTTCAGGTATGGGTTTTTTGACACTGTGATCTCCCGGTGTCAAAAACTGCCCCTGCACTGCAAATTAGGAGCAGGAGGAATGCCTGCACATGTGGTACATGTGGTGTGCGGCACTGCAGATGGGTCTGCGTCCTGCACGTCACACATGCACGCTTGTCTGGACCTGCCCAACATGTTGAGGAACCAAATATTGTAAAGGTGTGGAAGGGGCCTTTTGACAGTACCTTGTATGGTTTTTGATATCAGATGTCCAGTGACATCTGAATTGGCTGGCTGTAGGTGCAGCTGCCTTTCAGAAACAAGACATGCCCATTCTTTCATTTGTTTTCATGGCCTCATGTGGTTGATGGATCTTAATAACGCATAACTGCATGCAAACTAATGTTTGCTGGCTATATTGCAAGACTGCTCATACTGTGACTGCTGATTATCATACACTTTAACATGTATATACTTCATAGTAAGTCTTGGTTCAGGTTGGCTCTGTAGGGCTGCAGGCATATAGGAAAATTCTTCAAAGAGACTATCGCTATATAAATGTGGAGTTGGGCTAACAGATGGGAACTGTGCCAGACTTTCATCTCTGGGAAGAAATTGCCAATGCACAAATAGTCACCTCATTTTTTAAATATTAGAACTAACTGAAAAGGAAATACTTGTATATAAATTTAGGGCCAAATTTTAAAACTCAATGTGCAGTTCTTAGCCAGCAAAACTCCCCATTAGCTTCAAAGGCCATGAGATGGTATATATCAAGGGCATGCATTTATCTCATGTATTTCGATTTCATTATAATTAGACAGCAGCAAAATGATCATGAAGAACTAAGTACACTGATGAACCTTTGCCCTTATGGAATTCAAATCCAATACCTTTCTGAAATTTGTAAATTCAGGATTTAATTCCCCCAATTTTCCCCCCTTTCCTGGATTTGCCTAGGACTGAATGTAGAAATACCAAAATACAGAAGAATTGCTTGACCCTTCAGTCTTTACACAGGCAAAACTCCCATTTGGGCTTCAGGCTTCACTGGGAACTTCACTTGAATAAAGAATGCATCATCAGGTCTTTGCCTTGGACTAGAGCCTGAAGTTTTGGTTATGATGTTTGCTCCACTCCCTCTCTCAAACTTTTGCGGTTGACTCCATTAGTAATTTTTATGACAATGAAGTTGCCAGATTTAGTTCCTTCAACATACTGGGCAAGATTCTGATCTCACCTAGTTCAATTAGCGTAAATCTGGAAAAACTCCATTGAAGCCAAAGGCTGCACTTAAGAGTTGAAGTTGACAGAATTCCTCTAAATTTACACCGGTGGAGCTGAGATCAACCTCTACCCAGCCTCTCTTTTTCTAAGAAGAAACATCTTAGTTCCCATAGCCAGTCAGTCCCTTGTCATTTTTGAGTATCACAAAGAGAAGAATACAAAAATGTGACAACATCAGACAGACTCTATGACTTTTGGTGGACGCACTTCCAGGAGGGATGTTGCAGGTGTTTTTCAGAACAGAAACATAACAAAAAAAAAAGAGAGGTCAGGAAATCAGCTATGTTAAGTGGACAACCATAAAACCTCTAATATATTATTCTGTAATACAAAAAGAAGAAATTTGACTTGATTGCCCTATTATAAATTTGCTAAAAATACAGATATATATTTATATTTCATATATATAATTTTTTGAATCTGAACAGAAAAATAGACTACTCTGGAATGCATGAAAGTCACATGACTTTCCAATACATCAGATACTTATAGAGCCAACACAATGGCAAACAGAAGGTACAGAGGTAACTAGAACATCTGTACTTTAATCAAGAACTATTTAAAGCCATATTCTCCCCGACTGGGTGATTCTAAAGCAATCTAAGATAATGCTTTGTCCCTTTTGGTTACCATAAGCTTAATGATTGATTAAAATCTGAGAGCTTTTCTTAAATAAATATCTCATTTTAACTAATCTTGGAGTAGTCTGGGAAGCTCAAACTCCCCATTTTGCTGACTGTCTGAGCTATGCAGTACAACATAAATGCCATACAGTTTCCATTGTTGCATTACCTTACTTAGTAAATCTACTGTTTGCTTAAAATGAGGTGTTCAAAACTATCGTAGATAACATTTATGTGGAATTTATCAACAGAGAGAGAACCTGGCTTTAGAAACCTTGTCTTTTGTAATGAGTTTTAAATACCCCTGTTATTTACTATAAACTGTACCAGTCATAATTCTGTGAAGACATAAATATACAATAGGTACAAATATTAACAATACATTACAATTTTACAGAAGAGAATACTGTTTTCCTTAGAAATGTTTTTCTTATTAGCTGCAAGGGAAGAAAAGGCTACAGTTTATCACAGCCATAGTTGCCAAAGAAACCAACCCCATTGGATTTGTTTCTGCGTGACGTGCACAGACTAATATTCCCCTGGCCTTTGACACACAGCATGTTCAGAAAGGGAATGTGCGTTCCAGTGGTTTTCTTTTTTCTTCTTCTACATTATAGATTCTTGAACCTCTCATCAAATGTGGGTTTCACAGGAGAGACTGTTTTTCTTTTTCCTTAAGTGTGCTTAGGTGAAGTTGTCTTGGAAAAGGCACTGAGAAATCTACTACAATAAGTTACTTCTGTTTTCTTTTGTACAAAGCTAAAAGTCAAAGGATCTTTGCCTCCTCATTTAAAAAACTGCACCCATTCTTTCCGCACATAAATATATATTTATATATTTATATTGAAAGGAAAAAAAATTAGATTGATTGAGTTACAAGCAAGAACTCCAGACATCACGCATACATGGTCTTTCAGATATAATGTCCTCTGCAGCAGTAGACAGCCCTCTCTCAGCTTGCTTGACACATGGTACACAGTACAGGACGCTCGATGTTAGTGGCTGAACTGCAGACTTTAGTCTGATGCAAGAGATACCACATATTCCCATCCTGTCCCATCCCGTCGCCCAGTTTTATAATGTCAGGGAAATGTGTAGCAAATGAATTGCAAAAAGAAACTGTCCTTTAAATACCTATAGGATTTGGTTAGTTTAAAACATTTTTTTTCAAAGCACTGCCCTTTCTTTTGTAATGAGTACAGACTTACTCTAGCTTAGCTTTTCATTTGAGAGTAGATTTCCCAGTGCTTACATAATATATATATGTGCTATGGGCACATATATGGGTACTTCTTATTCCAACTTTATTTCACTAAAATAATTATGTATATTTTTAAACTGGGCACAAATCTGAGCTACATCTTCACACACACATAAGAAAGAAATGCTCTTTAAGCATATTATATGCTTAACTTTAAAATAATCTCTTTCTATAAGAAATCTATAGGACTTTGGCTATTAAGACTTAAAAGGTAGATTTTTTTAGTGATACTTTTGAACTTGGCTTTCAAAAGTGACTCCATAAAATGCTACTTTAAAGGTAAGACTAAACTGATGATATAAGGTGTGTGTCGTATTGATCACACAAGGCAGAGAGAGGGCCTTTGGTTACAAGGAGAGTTGCACCAGTTGATTATTGGTAAAAAAATGATGTAATTATTGATCTGTACATTTTTGTCAGTGCCATCTATAAACCAAATACTGGTATATCAATTTGAATGAAGGTCTGGAAAATACTACACTATATGGCTATATTTAAACGTCCACTTTCCTGATATGTAAAATATGACTTTTTCCACACGAAAGCATCAGCTCTAAAAATATTTAAACTGGAAATCACTATTATTTACTTTATCAAAAAAAGTTATTTTTCCCTGATTTTTTAAATTTTTTAAATTTATTTTTTTACATTTGTGCTGATGGCAGACATGACTGATTGATTACTGAAACATAGAGATTATGTTAAGACTGTTCTCTTTAAAATTTCTCATTACCACTCTATGGTCTAAGAGCCCATAGAATAAATGAATATTTAAAGCTTATCTGCTGGAAAGTCACTTTAACTTTACTTTCTAATAATTACTCAATCTTAACAAGTATCTCAGCAATGCAATAGTTCCCCTAAGTACACTTGTATTTACTACAGGCCATAGCCTGAAATCCTTAATCAGGCAAAATTCCTGTTCAAATTAATGGGTGTTTTGACTGAGTAAGGACAGAACAAAAGCTAAGGACCCTCAGGAATTGGCCCTGTCTAGGTTCTCTGAAGATGCTTTTGTGAGTACAGGTACTTTTTATTTAGCTTGAGTACCACCTGTGTAACTCTTTGCATGGAATGAGGTCTGCTCTCCGGTGACCGGGCAAATTCTTGCAATTATTACTCGGTTTTTACTCCTTACTCAAGGAAATTAACAGGTACAAGCAAGTAAAAGAAAGTACCCCAATTCCCTAGGGGAATTATCAAGATAACTGCAGCACATATGGATCCCTGCATGTGTACAGTATTGTGCCAAGGAGAGATCTGAAAAACTATACTTACAACCCATAATGATTCCTTAAAACATACATGTGCTTATTGCTTTTGTCTGTACGTGCTGCACTCACTCTTACTGATCACAGACAGAAGTGTCGTACAGCTTGGATGGACAGACCATTCGTTACGTTCAGGACTAATCAACAGCTATTTCACAAGAGAAAGGAACAGAATGCACCAGACACGGGTGGTTCATGGGCTTCCTCCAACACACAATGTATTCTTTATAAAAAGTTACACTTTATGTTTACGTACCAAGACCTGTTGCATGCAAGTAGTTACACAGCCCAGCAGGTACTCATAAATATGTACGAAACGCTTATTGACTAAGTTATTTACAGTTTACTTGTACAGTAAAACAGACGCAACATAAAATGGTTACCATCACAGTTATCACAAGACGGATTGTGGTTTGTTACAGACGTGTAACAAAGCACATTCATGACAGGAGGCACAAATTAAGATAGTGCTTGTTTAAAGTGCTAGATTCTTTCTCTCTCTCTCTATATATATGCACTCTGTTTTGTTGTTCCACCTTTGTGAAGGAAAAAAAAGTCAACATAAAGTGCTTTTACTTTTAAATATTAAAAACCAAACAAAAATTAATTTCCTACACAATTTGATGCAACTTGTATTCGAAGGACAATATTTTTTAAAAAAACCCCAAAACCTAGGCTGGTGGCTGCTAGTTGTGTTTTTGTTTAAAATGGTCAGTTCTAAAAAACTGATTGAATGATATTAAAATTCTGGACCTGATTCTTCTCTGACTTGCTTCCATTCTGCGTGTGCATAACTCCATTTGGTTTCTGAGGAGTCGCTGCTGATTTGCATCATTACAAGTGAGAGCACAACTAGGCCAGTGGTTCAGAATTCAGCAATCCCTCTTTTTGCATATTTGTTTAACACTTGCATATCTTTTCATTTCACACGGCTTGAGTGCAAAACGCTTCCGACTGACCAGCTCCTCTCTGACTCTCCAAGATGACCCTTGCATGAGAGTGCAAATGGCAGTGGGAGGAGCCCAAGGAGCCATCCCTGCCGTTCCTTGCCCTCCTGTCCAGGGGCTGGCCACAACACAAGCACTGTACAACCTAAGGCTGTCACTATGCTTGGACTCTCCAAACAAGGCAGGGGCTCAGGCCCCACCCTTCCGCACAGGACAGCCGACGTGGGGTAGTGGAACAGTAAGCAAGAGCATGCTACACCCAATAAAAGGGCTGAGCTCTCACGTAAGTGTACTGTCCCCCAGCACCGTGGAGGAACTCTGGCAGAGTCAACCAAAATGCCTCTGGAGATTTCTCCTTCTGCATGGCTCCTTCACACTCTCCCAGCGTGGGCTGTTGTTTATTCTAGGGCCATATTATAGCCCTAAAGTAAGTACTGGTTTTAGCCACGGGTTTCACTATGTTCCAATGGGGGGTGTTTTAAATTAGATACAAGTGGTGCAACTCACCCTGCTGATATTTCAAAATAAAACTTCAGGTCCTACAGTATCTTGTACTATTATCTTGTATAAACACACAGAGAGCATTTTAATAATTTAATTCTCTAGACCACCATTGTTTTAAATGGTTTGATTTTCCCCATAGTGAGAGTGTTCCCTGTTACCTTTAGGCATAGTATCCATCAGAGAGGAAGCTGTGGAAGGGAATATTTGGAACAGCTGCGCTGAAGCAGCAAGTGTTGCATTTCTGCTAACTTTATACTGACCCCAGTAATTTGTTCCAGAGTTCAAATCTGGCTGCTTTGGCCCCCTTTACAGAAGCAATGCAAATCAGATGTCAACATTTCCAAAAGGAGATCCATCGTACAAGGGGATTGGATGTATATTTGGTCACACTGGCTTCAATGGAGGACATGAAAGGAGACTGATGTGTAATCAAGATTTGTAGTCCTTATTTTGACTGACATTGGTAGCATGAGTTTGGGCAATGTTAGTATAGCTGTTCCAGAGAAGGACATTTTCACAAACCCACACTGGACCTCCTCCTAGACTTTTAGAAACAGGTGGCTTGTTTCAGTCAAAGTTCATGCCATGCAGAAGCTCTTTTTTGTGTTGAGTGTAAAGACATTCCTTTTAACTTTCAACAAGTTTTTTTGGGGAGCACACATCAGATGCTTTGATCACGTATGTTAGTGTGTCCTCCACCACCAGGTAATACATGGACCTCTGGTGAAATGTGATTTTCTAGTCTGACAGTCTCCTGATTGCCCTGGCTTTTTCCAGTAATACCTTCCATGGAGTAAATGCAGTTTTGCCCTATCAACTTAGGCGAGGTGGGTAAAGCAGCAGCCCCTAGATGGTTCTTCTCTGTTCTATAAATGTTATCCTTTTGCTTTAGATAACCACTGTTTGTAACACTGTACTTGGGGCTTATGTTTCCTGGGAGGCCTTTGGGAGGGCTTGAGTCATAAAGCAACTGACCTTCGTCATCAGTGTCAGCATCTATGTATTTATGTATGCTGGCATCGTGGAAGTTGAAAGCTATTGCTGTCTGCTTCTCTGGAGACTTTGGGGGTGTTCTAGCACTTGCAGTAGTATAGATGGAGGTTTCTGGACTCACTAATGATCGATCAGAGAGTAAGGAGCTATCTGCAGCAGCAACTCCCCTGTTCTTGAAAGGATCTGGGTATATTCTCAGTACATTTGATGCTGGTACTAATGTGCTGGTGTCCTCTTCCATAAAGTTGACTTTCAGAGATCTTAATTTTAAAGGATTACTGGCTTGGATGGACCCTTTAGGACTTTCTATGAAAAAAGAAGAGTGGTGGCTGCCTTCAGCATTGGGATTTGTCTCTATAAACCTGGCCCCACTCACCTCCGGCCTGACTTGCTCCTGAATTGGATTAACACCACCTTTGCAGGGAAGTGTAGCAAGTGGGCTGTGGGAGAACCTCCCAGAATCAGGAAATTCTGCAGCACAGCTTATAAAACTGTCAATACTTGACATGCTCCTCATGTCAATGATCCCATCTGCACGGGTTGTCAGCAGAGGGACCGTAGGGCCAGGAACAGTTTCCATTTCTAGCTCTTCCTTTGGCTTTCCAGGCTGACCTGACTCTTTAGTGTTGAGATTTGGCTGTGATTGAGCCTTTGCCATTTTATTGTACATGTCCTCCAACTGCTGGACATTCAGATGCTGGGGACTAGAAGAGGACCGAGCTTTTTCTGGAGATCCCTGTTCCTTTGTTTCAAAAGATTTACTAGAGCTAGTTTCTGAGAGAGTTCTCTTGGTCCATTTCCACTTGTTGGGAGATAAGTGATTGTCCTGAACTTTATCCTTTTTGCTTACACCTTCACCGTTCTTTTCTACCACAATGTCCATCAGTTCTATACTGCGGGCAAAAGCATCCTTCATATTCATGGAGACAATGCTGCCATTTCTTTTTGCTCTTTCGAGTGCTTCTCTGCGCTTGATAGCTTTCTCCTGCCTCTTCTGCTCTTTGTAGAACTCAGAGAAGTTATTGACAATGATTGGGATTGGAAGAGCAATCACTAGTACTCCAGCAATGCAGCACAACCCTCCTACTATTTTACCTAAAAGAGTTTTGGGGTAGATGTCTCCATAGCCTACTGTTGTCATGGTGATAGTTGCCCACCAGAAGGAAGCTGGGATGCTTTTGAATTTTGTATCATCTTCGTCTTTTTCTGCAAAAAACACTAAGCTGGAAAAGATCATAATGCCCATGGCCAAAAACAAGATGAGTAATCCAAGCTCATTATAGCTCCTCCTCAGTGTAAATCCTAAGGATTGTAAACCAGTCGAGTGCCTGGCAAGCTTTAGAATTCGGAGTATCCTCATGATCCGAAATATCTGAACCACCCGTCGTACATTTTGGAACTGAAGTACACTTTTGTTTGATTCTGTAAGGAAGATAGTGACGTAGTAGGGTAAAATAGCTAGCAAATCAATAGCGTTCAGTGGGCCTTTGAAAAACTTCCATTTCTTAGGCGAGGATAGGAACCGCAAGAGGTATTCCATTGTAAACCATGCAATGCATACTGCCTCCACATGGGCAAGCTGAGGATTATCTGTGGTTTGTCCAAATTCATCCACGCCTTGTAGTTCAGGAAGTGTGTTAAGTGACAAGGCAATTGTAGATAATACAATGAACATGATGGAAATGATTGCCAAAATCTGCGAGAGAGAGAGAGAGAGAGAGAGAGAGAGAAACTAGTTAGTTCAACGTATGATATATGCTCTGCTTTTATCATCATCAGTTACATATTATTGGATGTTATCACTGAAACATTTCAAGCCTGATTTTGCTTTTAGTTATGCAAGTTTAACACCTTTCAATGCAGTAGGAGGACATTCTGAAGAGGACCATGCACTGGTTTAAGGTGTACTATGTCTACAACCCAAGTTAAAATGCATTCCAAGCCATAAGTCATAAACTTATAGCTGGACAAGAAGCCATGAACAGCAGCACCCTCCCAGTTTTTTAGGGAGTTTGAACCTGGGTCTTGTTAATAGAAGCAAAATTGGCAGGTTTTGCACCCTCAACAAAATCCTGGTGGTGGCTGGGGGCAAAGGGGAGGGGGAAAAGGTCCTGAACACTAGAGAGAAGGGGTTGTGTGTGGGGGGTGCGGGTCGTACCTGCTCCAGGGACTCAGTTGCCAGCTGCTACTGACACAGAGCGGTCTGCCTGGCCCCAGCTGTTGCTGCTGGTGCTACAGCTGGGGTGCAGGGCTGTTGGTATAGTACCACTGACTCCCTGGGGATCCACCATTCTGGTGCCCCCTGTAAGTGACTGTCCAGGGCTGATGTCAGGCTCACCAACCCCAAGTTACACTACAGTACTGCTTATTAACTTCCAGTCGCACTGCTCTAACCAGAACACCGCAAGTCAGGATCACCCAGGCCCTCCACCTTTCCTTTCGAAGTGGGGCCAATGAGCAGCCAAGAGAAGCAGATTGATACATTGCACTGGAAGGACAAAAGAGAAACAGGTAGAGAGTGTGGAGCTCACTGAGATGGATGCTGTTCTCGAACAGTGCAGGCCCTGGGTTTAGCCTGGACCCTTGTTCCCAGTGGGACAGAAACTTCCCCTCCTTACTGGTCTCTGTTACTTTCATCCACTGCAGGATAATCTCATGCAGTTGTGAGTCATGCCTAACCTACCTAACACTTAAGAAGCTGATATATCTAAGAGACTCCAGGAACTTGAACAGATGAGCATGGTTGTGCAGTACGTGGTGCTGCGAACATGCTGGCAGCACCTTATACCACACAGTCCCGTGTTCTCCATGGTGCAAGGGCATGATTCCCAAGTGTGTCTACGCAAGTTTTTTTTCTGTGGGGTTTTTTGACCCCTGGATATCCATCAAAAAAACCTGCAGGAAAAAAAAAACTGGAGCAACGTACGCTCAGCCAGTGCGTGCTGTTGAAAAGTGGAGCTGGGCCACCTGGAGCCACACTCTGCTGCCAGCCAGGCTCCATGTGGCAGAATTGCTGCAGTGCAGCCCTGGGAGGCACAGTGCTGGCCCCAGTCTCCCCTACCCCACCCAGGGCAACTTGCCATGCACCAAAACATGCATGGCATGGGTGTTCCCTGGGGACAAATAGTGGTGGCACAAGGTGTGCCACCACTACTTGTGCCCGGAGAACCAAATGTCCCTACACATCTGGATGTGGCCTAGGTGTCTATACACATACTCTAGAGTGTTGGCGGAGGGGGGTGTTTTAATTAGAGCAGCTCTCGGACAGCCACTGTAATTAAAATTCTGCAACATCACGTGTTTAGCATCCTGTGTTTCAGAATGGTTTGTTCAATGAGTTTTGGTTAAAGCACCCCCTCTGCCATTTTGAAACATGGGATGCTGAATACATGTGACGTATTCCTAACCTGTGACACAGTGGTTAGCACGCTGTACTTGGCATTTGAAGAGAACCAGATTGAAACCCCCAGTGGATGAAGAGACTCTAGATCCTGGTTGCGTACCCTCACCACTCAGGACTGAAACATGGATGAGCTCTGCTAATGCTATTTCCCCCCCAAGACTTACACCACATTACAGCATTCCAAAATGTTCTTAATCCAAATCAAATGAAATTACACAGCAATGAGAAGGTTAGAGCAGTCAGTTCCAACTTCCAAAAGGCAAAGCATCCATTAGACCCTCATTCCTGGGACAGAAATTTCATTGAGAAAGAGAAAATGGCTGAATTAGAAAAAGAAAGCTGATCTGTTCCTGGACCCCTGACTATTAAAACAGGAAATGGTACAGACTTGAATTAATCTATTCTCATTATAAGCTTTGTATTTTATAACAGAGCTGCCTCTCCCCACCTCCTCCCCCCAATATCTGTTTTATACAGACATAAATGTTGCATACCTTCATTTTTTTGCTTTCAGAAACTCAGTGCATTTTATTTTAAACTTATTTGTAGAAAGCCCTACAACTGACAGAGAATCTGAGATGCTTTCTCGTAGTGATGGATTGTTTTGTTGGTGACTGAGAAGATATCTTGTTTCTTAGGTTTCTGGCAAAATAGAAAATGCCATAGAGATGCACACACATGACTAATATTTTTATGTATTCATTTTGCTGCAAACTGATTCTTTATGCTTGCTTTTCTGCCACACTGTTTTTTAAAAAAACCCAACATAAAATCAAGACCAACATACGGAAATACTACATTGATTAAATATACCATGTGACACAAAGTCCCCATGGCAGGACTTTAACATAGGCCAGGTATAGACATTCAAAAAGCCTGAGGCAGAAGTAATTTTAGTATATAGTAATTTAAGTGACTTAGGTTAGGTTGGGAGTGAACAGAACAGGTGTTTGCCGTTCGGGGGGCAGGGACCTGCCGGCGAAGGGCACTCCTGCAGGCCTCCCAGTGGGCTGCCAGAGAATGCCAAGCCTAGCTGAGCAGCTGGCCACCCCGACTGGCCAGTGTGGTCCCTCTCCCCAGCCTTGTCCCCCCACCAGCAGCCAGCTGTCATTGGCAGTGGGGAACAGGATGGGGAAGAATGTAGGCCCCTGCCCTGGCCCCCACAGACCTGAGCCAGCACACTGCGGTGGACTGGGGGAGTCTGCATGCCTCCCCTTCCCCCCTCCACTGCCTGGCCTGGCTGTCAGGTATAGGCAGGACGTGGGGCTGGGGACAGAGGCTTTACTGTCTTGGCTCTATGAAAGTCCAGGGTCAGGGCCAGCAAGGCACTCAGCTGAAGCAGCAGAGCGTGAGCTGAGTTCCAGCATGCCTCCATGCGAGGGTGGGGAGCAGGGGGCTACAAAGGCACTTGGGATGCTGGCAGACTGCGACCTAACTTGAGTTGGTAGGGGATCTGGTACAGAAGTTCAACAGACTGGTCTAACCTAAATCCCTTCAGTCTGATATTACATCCATCATCTAGGTTTATCTTAGACCGGGTACCACCATTTTTAAACCAGTCTATGTGTGTTGAACTTCTGTATGGTTATAGGTGTAGCCTGGTTTCCAAGCACTCATACCAACATAGGTGTAATGTCTGTACCTAGCCATAGTGAAATGGAACCATGAAATATGACCCTCCCCATCACTGGACTTGTCAGACATGTTAGTTTTCCTCATGACAATGTTGCTCAACATGTATTGTAGAAAGAATCTATCAAATATCAAATATCAATTTTCCTGTCATAAACTACAAAAACCACTGCTATCAAGATTCATCAGGCTCTTGTCTTCCTGGACAAAAGCTAAAATGGAACAAAAGAACAGCTGAACCTGAGCTGCTATAGAAGAATCATCCATTTTGAATCACAATCAGCATAAAGGACTATCCAGTCCTTGGCATGACAGTGGAAATGCCTATTTCCAATCATAATCAGACATACCGCACCTGCCTTTTATTCAAAAGTAAAAGAAGGACCCATTGTGTAATGTTTGGAAGTGTTACATAGGCTGATGTAGTGTGCTTGGGATATGGTTTCAGAGTAGAAGTAGGTTACCTATGCCTTGGAAAAAAAATCTGAAGACGCTAAATATAACTTCGTGAGAGAACTGGACATGCAGAATGCACTTGGGACAAATTACCAGTAGGAAACAAATAGCTTAGAAATTAATTTAAACAGGTACACGAATTGAGTGCTAGACAGATCATCAGCAGTATAAATCAGACCCATGAGTAATGAAAAAAACAGACAAGCAGTGCTTATATCAGCCTCTGCCCAACTTGCTTATTGAAGGAGGAGGAGATGGAAGAGATGAAAATTACATCTCCAGGGGTCAAAAAAGCCTGTGGAAAAAAAAGTGGAACAGTGCACGCATGGGCAACGTGCACCGCTGAAAAGCTGAGCTGGGCAGCCTGGAGTCACGCTGCGGCAGCCATCCAGGCTCTGCCTGGCAGGATTGCCGCTGCTGCAGCCTTTGGAGGCCCCCAGGACCCCAGGTGAGGCTGCTGGGTCCAGCCTAGTGCTGGCCCAGACTCCCCTACTACCTCTGAGATAAATTGCCATGTGCCAAAGCAAGGTGCACCACTGCTCCTTGTCCCTAGGCAACCAAATTTCTGTACTTGTCTGGAAGCAGCCCTAGGGCATTTCCACACATGCAGGCATGTGCATCTGCAGCAGCTCAAATAGCAGCGGCACAAATTTGTTCCAGAGATTTGTGCCTCAGTACATGTGCCTGAACATGCACTTTGGTGTGGGGCATATTGTGCCACTTGGGGCAAACAGACCCTGCTCAGCTCCTCCTGGATCTTCAGTCAGGGGGAGCTAGAGGCCAGGCCAGAATCTTCATCCTTAGAAGTTTTCAAGACCCGGCTGGTCAAAGCTTTGGCTGGGATGATCTAGCTGGGGGTGGTCCTGCTTTGAGCAGGGGGTTTGGACTAGATGACCTCCTGAGGTCCCTTCCAACCCTAATTTTCTATGATTTCTATATAGAAAGATCAGTTGGGCAATGTGTTATTGATATATTTATAATTTTAAAGCAATTTGGAAGCCTACCAGTGCCCCAATCATCATAATAAAACAAATTATAAATATAATTACACTTTGGTGTTTGCTTTTGGTTTTTTATCATAGAAAATCAGAGCTGCTCCTGCCTCCTTCCCTCATCAAAATGTGGGGTGCTGAACAGCACTGATATGCCAATGCCCTGCCCTTGCCCTTGCCCCTCCCTCCCAACCCACATCCCTACCAGTGCCC